AGGGAGCCTTGCATTTTAACATTCTTGAGGAATACCTAGACAGATTGTTAAAATAATTCCCCAGGTTCTATCTTCAGAGACTATGATTCTGTAAGTTAGGACAGAGTCTATAAACGTGCTTTTTTTTTTTAACCAGAGGGCAGATGTGCTCCCCTGGAGAGAGACAGAGAAAGGGAAAGTAGGAAAGTAAGAAAGCACTTCTGAGGGGGATGGTAATGCCACAATCCCTTTTCTACCATTTCTCTCTCCTGTCAGGATTTTGGCACATGCACACATGCCCTGCATGTCTTTTTAAGCCACTGGGTCCAGGGCTCTAACGGCACAGTTGGATATGTGGGATCCAGCTGCCTTAACTACTATGCCACCAGCTAGCCCTGAGCTTACATTTCTAACAAGTTCATGAGCTGCTGGTCTATTAACTAAACTTTTTTTTTTTTTTTTTGGAGAGGTTTCTGCTATAGGGCGTGTGCGCTCGCCAGACAGACAGAGAGAGACAGAGAGACAGAAAGCAAGAAATCACCCCCCAGGGGGGATGGTCACGCCTCAATCCCTTCTCCTCCATTCTCCTCTCGGGATCTTGGGCACGCACGCACACGCACCCGGCGTGAGTTTTAAGCCACTGGGTCCAGGATGTGAACCGCGGTCAACTACGTGGGAGTCCAGTGACATAGCCATTACGCTAACTGCTGGTTCCCTCTATTAACTAAACTTTGAGAACTACTATTCAAAGATGTCTCATGTAATCACAGATTAACAATGATTATAAATGCTTAAATTCTATAGGCCGGTTGTCATGAAACAAAAGCAGGCATAAAAGCAGAGTGAGATCGATCTCTTGCCTTACATGGAATTCTTAGTGGCTTCTGGAAATCCAACAGAGACCAATAGGAACAAAAGGCAGTTGTCTTGGGTATAAAACCTAATTTGCTCTTTACAGGAGCTATAAAACACATTATCAGTAAAAGTCAAAGTACATGCAGCCATAATTTAGTACTGGGTTGAACTATAAACTTAAGAGCTAAGGTATAATGTCTGAGAAAAATCTGGTTCATATAGTTTATAATCCACTGTTCATTTAGAAGATGAATTCCTTTATTCACATAAATAAATAGAAATGGTCAAAAATAAAATTCTTTAAAATTCTAACAAATACGTGTAGAGCTGATATGGGAAAGAAAAAAGATGTCAACAGATTAATTTTATTAGAGCTAAGCTCACATAGAATAAAAGATTATGATGTGTGACTAACAAACAATATTTGAACACCCATCACTTGGACACTGTAAAAGATAGTGGTAAAAAATAAAGATCTGGAGGAAAAATTCTCTTTGCTAACTTATTGGGATAGGAAACCCTACCTTTTGTTTTGTTTAGCTTTTATTGAGCATCTAATATGCTCAGATGCACTAGGTTTAAGAATAGAAACGGCCCTACCTTGGACAAGCTCACAGTCAAGTGAGACCATAAATAATTGCAATACAGCATGATAAGTATGAGAACACAAAACTACCTGGAAAATAAGTATATATGAAGTACTACAAGAGCCTGGAGAGTGAGTTGATCAGATGCACTTGGGAGAAAAGTAAAAGAAGGCTTCACTAAAAACAGAGTGATTGCTTTAACTGAGATCTGTAGGAATGGAGCATATAAATAAGGCTGGGTAGTGGGCCCACTAGAGGATACAATACCTGCAAAGGTATGGGGGTAAAAAAGAGTAATATAGATTTGAGTTCTACAAATAGTTCAGTTGGCTGAAGCAGTGAGGACAGTATGAGAGGGGATGCAATGGGATGCAGGACAGGAAGGCAGAGTCCTACATGAAGAGCCTTGGGCACCCCTCTAGAGTCAGGTCTTTATTTCTTCACTTTTAGGTAAATGGTGAAGAATTTTAACCACAAAGTGGATTGCACAGACTTGCATTTTAATAAAATTACTTTGGCACCATTAAGGGGAAGAGACTGAAGGCTAGATTTTATTTTTGATCTGGCAGGACTTGGTATTCAACGCACCAGTGAGAGGGAGAAAAATAGTGGATCTAAATAGAGATTTTTTTAAAAAAAAGGAGCAGGTGGCAGGTGGCGTGGTGATTAGGGGCGCTGGACTCCCACACGGCCAACCACGGTTCAAGTCCAGGACCTGGTGGCATGCTATCTCACTTTCCTCTCACTTTCTGGCTCTGTCCCTCTCTGGGCAAATTAAATAAATAAATAAAACTAAATGAAATAATTTTTTAAATCTAAATTTAATTTGCAAAGAAGTAGCAAAGGCTGAAATTTATACACTGCTTTAGGAATTTTAGGAATATTTTATCTGGTTTATCCAATATGGTCAAGTACACTTTAGAAAATTAAAGATGACAATTATAGCCCTTGTAGACAGAGACGCCTATGTCTGCTCATACTACCTTAGACAAATCATAACTTCTCTGGGCTTCAGTTTCTTCATCTGTGTAATAAATGGTTCAAGGGTTCTTAACAACTGAACCATAAATAAAAGTATATGGCAATATAATTGTTTTTCTTTACAATCCTACCAATTTTATTTATTTAAATTTTAAACTATTCTCCTATTCCAAGAAAGGGTTAATGGCATGAAAGAGGTTAAGAAGCTCTGCAAGAATTTTAGGGTTACTTATAACTCTCAAATTATGGGATTTTTAGACCCTCAATATGGGAACTAAAAGATGTTGCTGCTGGATAAAGACAAATAGAAATGGGGCAACAGAAAAAGAATAATATTCAGAGACCAAAAAAGTTACATACATATACAGATTGAAAGTCTGACCCAGATTGACAGTATTTTGCCTTTCCATTTCCCTTTGTCCCTTTCTTCTTTGAGGAGCTAGGTTAATGATGGTGTTAAGGGACTGCTGGTGGCTTTCTTCTTATGTATTCTTAAATCTACTGAAGTAATGATTTATAGTGGAAAAAAACTTCATTAGTAAAGGCTATAAAAAAGGTTTAGTATAAATAATATAATCTGAAGATTATATAATAGTGAAATTGGTAAATGTTAGCAATCAAGTAAAGGAAGTAAGAACTAAACGTCTTCTCAATAATGTGCAGACACAGGGAACTAGCAGTTAGCGTAATGGCTGTGTTGCTGGACTCCCACGTAGTCGACCGCGGTTCACGACCCAGACCTGGTGGCTTAAAAATCACGCCGGGCGTGTGTGCGTGCGTGCCCAAGATTCTGAGAGGAGAATGGAGGAGAAGGGATTGCAGCGTGACCATCCCCCCAGGGGATGATTTCTCGCTTTCTGTCTCTATGTTTCTCTCTGTCTGGCGAGTGCATGCACCCTATAGCAAAAACCTCTCAAAAAAAAAAAAAAAAAAAGTCCAGACACAAAACTACCTGGAAAATAAGTTAGGTAAATAAAAAATAATTTTTAAGTTAAAAAAAATGGTTTCAAAAAGATAAGCATGGAACAAAAACTAGTTGTTACTACCCAACTAGGCATTCAGTAGCAGGGAATGCATCTCTCTCCTTTTATCCTATTTAGGATAGTACTCTATAGTGAGAACTTCAATCTAAATGATATGAATTTGTAAGGTTACTTATAATGCAAAAAGTTAAAATGTACACAGCTACTACAAAAAAAGAAGTTTTTTTAAAGAATTATTTAATTTTATTCACTATCACTATTTTCTTTCATTTAACCAGAGAGAGATAGAGAGAGAAACGGAAAGTGAGAAAGGAATCCACCAGGTCCAGGACTTGAACACGGTTGGTCACGTAGGAGTCCAGCACCCTAACCACCCACCACCTGCAAGCCCCAGGAAAAGTTCTTTAATAAAATCATTTTAAAGAACATTATTAAAACAAGAATTATATACATTATCACCAAAGAAAACATAAATGAATGACATAATTATTGCTTGGTAGTATTCCTAGTACGTTATTCTCCTCAAATTAAACTTTCAAAATGGTTCTGAGTAAGCAATGAGAAAGTCTTTAGTGTATCATTTGTTCAGTTTTCAGGAGGACATCCTGCATTGGTTTAAAAACCCTCTGAAAGATTACAATACCATAATCTGTAATATTCTTTTAAATTACATCTACCAAGTAAAAGCTTTGCTATCCTGGACATGAGTCTACAATGAGGTAATCAGACAACTATTCAACTGAACAACAATGAAAAACTTTCAAAGCTATAAAATCAAATCTAGTTGGTTTTTAAAATAGTATTTATATTCACTTTGCAAGGATTGCATCCCTTAAAAACAATCAGAGGGGGGAAAAGTCATTACCATATTCCCATAATTCTTCTGAAGAAAAACTACAAAAACAAAGCATTCTCTTTTTCTTTCAAGAGATTTATCAACTTCTCAGATCTGTATAGGAGAGCAGGTTCCTGTTTCTACAGGTAACTCTTTCTTCCCACACCTCCCTAGCAATTTGCATATCTCTAAACAGGAGGCAGGTAACTGAGGCACCTAAGGCAATCTTTAATGTCCTTCGGCTCCTCCCCTGACAAGTGGCTTTTTATGAAGACTATTTAAGTGCTAATCTTAAAAAACAAAGTCACTCTTTAGTAAAACACTGTCTACAGCCCCCAAATATTCCAAAAATGTATTTGCTTCAGAACATTACAATTACTTTTAAAATTTGTCAATTTATTCACTTTTAGCCTAGGCAATATAGATTATATGTCCAGGGAGTTAGAAAAAAATTCAGAATTTTCATTTCTAGACAAACTGTGATTACTTGCTTCAGGAAACTAAAATATTTGTTAGATACAAGATACTTAGAAATCATTGGTAACTATACTTCATTCATTATAAAATAAACCCTATCAAGCAAATCCACCAAACAAGGCTCCAAAATGTACACAAATCATAAGGCAGTAGAATTTAACTTTCAAAATGATTTTTCCAAATGTGACTTGTATGCAACTTGAAGAAATCCCTTGCTGTGTTTAAAAAGTAAAGCTGTATATACAGTTAATTCTACAGCAGAGCATAAACTATTTTTCAATAAAAGAATACAGCACTACTCACCTCCATTTCCACAGCAGCTGTACTCTGGTCATAATGATCCATCAGATTAGGGAAAAATGTCATGTTGTAGGCCATTTTCATACATCTGGGTACAGTAATTGGTTCACAGGTGAAGAGACTGTGCCCTCTTATAAGGGGTAGAAAAATACACACCAACAAAAATGTAAACGTTTCCATTTTCTTCAAATTCCTGATTTTACCACATGGCTTGGATTAGTTGCTCTTTTCATCCTTAGAAGATTCCCATCTAAAAATAAAACGTTCAGATTCCTCATTTCATTATTTTACCAGTTCGAAGAAAGTAGTCTTCTTCTCATCATGAGTTCCAGGTCAGTAACTGTAAAAACCACCAAGACAGTGTATGAGCAACATCTGTCATAAATTCAAATGCGGACATCAAAGTGCACAATTAAGACGTTTACGTTGGGTAATTAATACCAGGCAAACGACGGAAAATTCTGTCCCGAGAGATACTCTTCCACCTGTCTTGGCATAGACCATACCATTTGCTGAGGAAGTCTCATCTCCAGGGACGGGATGACAGGGTAAAGGGGGGAGGCGCATTGGCTGAGTGAGTAGGGGTTTCGGGGAGAGGGAATGCTGGTAGTTTGTAAAAAGTTAAAAACGATTAATAATATCATAAACGCCCTGATTGGAAATCTCGTTATGCACAAGAAAACTGAGGTCAGGTAAATTCCTTAACACTCAAAGAGCTCTAAAAACTTTTTAAAAGATCCCAAAGAGGCCACTTTGGGGGCAGTCTCCTGGGGATACTTTTCCTGTTTTTCAAAAGGCCAGCTGGGGGAAACTTCTAGGGTTTCCCCCCACCCCCACCCACCCGCAGAGGGGGGAGTAGAAATGCCGTCGAAGGGGAAAATGAGCAACCCTATCCCGGGAGGGCGACAGGGGTCCTCCGGGAAGGAAGGCCATGGGCCCCGGATTACGATGACCGCCTCCAACACGCATGAGTGCCGTCCGGCAGCGTCCACACCCGGGCACCTGCTCCAGGCCTACCGCGGGCAGCGGCGTCGCTGGCCTGCCCGGGGCCGTGGGGCCGCCACCCCGCCCTGGACTCCCGGGGTCCGGCCCGCTTCCTTCCCCACCCCCGGGCCCGCCGGACCGCCGCCACCCACCGAGTTCCGGTCCTAGAGCCTCACCTCGGGTGACGGTCGAAGGCCACCGTCCCTCCCGTACCCCGTGCAGCCCACCGTCCCGCGTGACCTCGGACGGCTCCGGCGAGGATTCCGGCGGGCTCGCGGCAGCCGCGGCGGGACTGGCCCTCTGCCCGGGCCCCACCCGCGCTGCTTCCCCAGCCCGGCTCCGCTGCCGGCCTGGACGGCGCCCCGGGGGAGTGGTGCCAGGTGCTGAGGCCGGGCCATGGGGAGTCTCCCCACCCCCAGTCGCCGTCGGGTACGAACTGAGTGCTGGGCTGTGCGGTCCTGCTGTCCCGGCCCAGGGTACGCGTGGGAGGCGGCGGTTCGCCTTAGAGAAACTTTTGAAGCTTTTGGTGATCCTCAGAACTCCCTTTAAAAGAACCCATTTCATTTCGGATTTCAGGAGCCAAGAATCTTCAAAATCAATTGCCCAAGTGACCTCAGTTGGAAATGGGATAATTTCCTGAATCACTGTCCTAAAAAAGAACCCTTAGCAATTAGGGGAGTTGGTGACCAACTTGAACCACAGGTGGCATTGGGATTCCAGGCCTGACAGGCTGTACAGTTTTACTGACGCAACACAGTCGTAGAAAGTTGAGCTGCTTGAAAACTTAGCATGGTTTTCAGTACCAACAATGTCACGTAGCATCTCGGGTAAATTATTAATTAATAGGTAGTTCTTAGGGCCTCAGTGATGGTAGTGATGATAGTTGATGTTTATTGGGCACTGGCTGTGAGTCGATAGTGCCAAGGCCAGGGATAGACACATGCAATCCCTGTACATGTGCCCAGCATGAGTTAAGCCACCGGGTCTGAGACTGGAACCATGGTCGACTACATAGGAGTTCAGCAACATAGCCATTAGCTAACTGCTGGTCGCACAAAGTGCTTTTTAACTGGAAGCCCTTCTTATCACGTTGATCACCCTGTTGCAGAACACATCAGATGGAATGAAGGACACCACTGAATAACAAGAGAGTAAGAGTTTTGAAATCTACAAAACACCAAAATGGAAACTTTGAATTTGGAGAGGGAATTCTCATTTTTATCAAAAACTTAGGACTATTTTAGTGGTTATTTTACCATTTTTCTTCTATTTCTCTTCCTATATATTCCTCTGAGCTGGCACTAGGGATTATTAGTGACCAAAAGTATAAGAAGCAGACTTTCACTTTTACTTTTGAAGGATAATTTTACAAGGTACAGAATTTTAGGTTGGTAGTTTTTTTCTACCAACTTTTAAAAAAAAATAATAATTATTTATTTAACTCCATTTGTTGTTATTATTATTTTTTTTCAATTTGACCAAACAGACAGAGAAAGAGAGAAAGGGAAAGTGAGAAGTGAGAGAGCAAGCCGCCAGGTCCGGGACTTGAACCATGGTCAGTTTTGTGAGAATCCAGCTCCCTTAACCACCACGCCAGCCCCCTGCCAACACTTGAAATATTTCACTCTACTCTTTTTATGGTTTCTGAGCGGAAGTAGGCTATAATTTTTATCTTTGTTCTTCTATAGTGTAGGTAAGTTTCTCACCATTAAGTATGCTACCTGTTCTTTAGCGGGTGAGGGTGTTCCCCTTTATTCCATAGTTTGCTGAGAGTTTTTATCATGGATGGGTGGTTGGAGTTTGTCAAATGCTTTTCCTACATCTATTGATGTAATCCTGTGCTTTTTTTTCTTCTTTATGATGGATTATATGAATTGCTTTTCACATATGAACCAGCCTTGTATACCTCAGCTAAATCTTGATTGCATACTTTTTTTTTTTTTTTAAATACCAGAGAGCATATGCATACCAGTGAGAGAAAGTGCCATCTCTCTCCCAGTGTGGCCTGGTCATGGTGCAATCCCCTTTCCTCCATTCATCTTTCATGTCAGGATCCCAGACATATGTATGTGTGCACACATGCTTAGAGTGTGTGGCCTCTGTTAACCGTGTATTTGATCTTTAGAACTGCTGGAGTTTAAGATTCATATCAGTCACTCATGTGGGATCTGAATCCCTCCACATATCACTTAACCGCTACACTGTGGGGCCAGCCCTGCAATTCTTTTTATACACAGTTGGATGCCACTTGTTAATATTTTCTTAAGGATTTTTACATCTGTGTCCATGAGCGATATTGAGTTATAGTTTTCTTGTAATGTTTCATCTGGTTTTGATATTAGGACAATGATGCTCTCAAAAGCTAGGAATTATTCCCTATGTGCTTATCTTCTGGGAGAGATTTTAGAAAATTGATCTCACATTGTTGGTGTCTAATAATAATAATGATTTGAGGGAAATTGCTAGTCATTATAACTTCAGATATGTGTTCTGCATTCTGTTTCTTTCTCTTTCTTTATTTTTATTTATTTATTTATTTTTTGGAGAGATTTTCACTATAGGGCACATGCGCTTGCCAGAAAGACAGTAAGAGAAAGAGAGCTAGAAAGCGAGAAATCACCCCCCAGGGGGGGATGGCCATGCTGCAATCCCTTCTCCTCCATTCTCCTCTCGGGATCTTGGGCACGCACGCACATGTGCCCGGCGTGAATTTAAGCCACTGGGTCCGGGACTCGAACCGCGGTCGACTACATGGGAGTCCAGTGACATAGCCATTATGCTAACTGCTGGCCTCATGTTTCTTTCTCTTTCTGATATTCCTATTTCATATGTTTATAGTTGACCCATGGTTCTTGAATTTTTTTTTTTTTTGAGTTTTCCTCTTTTTGCATTTTGGTTTTCAGAGTTTCTATTGGTATAGCCTCAAGCTTAGAGATTATTTTCTCAACCACATCCAGTCTATTAATGAGCCCATCAAAGACATTCTTCATTTCTGTTATAGTGGAGACTTTTTTGTTGTTGTTTTAAATTTGCTGCAGGGCAAGTACACTTATTTGGAGACAGAGACAGACACAGAGAAAGTGAGAAAGCATGGTCCGGGGGCATGATCTTGCTACAATCCCTTCTCTTCCATACTCCTTTCAGGACTTGTGATCATGTACACACATACACCCAGTGTGTTTTTTAAGCTGCCAGGTTCTCTCCCAAACCAGTCTTGCCTAGCCCTTAGAAGTCTACCCATGAGTCCAGGTGTTTTCAAGCACCATTTGTGAATTTGATCGTGTATTAACTTAAATTTAGGGGAGTCTATGAACGTGATGTAGAAGATAGTCTTTATTTAAAAACTGACTTTCACTAGAAGTATATTACCTGTCATTCCCTGCTCTGAAAGTTAATTGCTGCAGTGTAGCATAGCAATTAACCTTTGGGTTTTATCCATTATGGTTGGCTAAAAAGAATGTACTTTCTAATTACTACCTCCAGTATTACTGGAAAATAAAATTTTCAATGCAGTGGTAACATGACACTGCAGGAGAGAGCCACATATTTTAATGACAGTTTGATGTATAAGATTGCCTCTTTTGGAGCTCTGGTATTGTCATTTGCAAATAAAGAGATTCATAATGTTAAAAAAATACAGCTTCAGCTCTACTACTGCTTTGAGTTACATTTTGTCCCTGTGAGTTTACTGTGCTGGGTTTTGTTTTTAGTGGCTTCAGCACATACCATCTGGTCATCTTTAATATTTAATAACCTATACTTTTTTTACTAGCAAAGCAGCCATGTTAATTCTGCTATTAGAGACCGTATTTTCCCTAAAGCTTTTACCTTCTAGAAGGTAAAATTTATTGATCTGAACAATAATAAATTGATTTGCAAAGCCAACATTATACCATATTGTGCTTCATGGGCTGTTATGACTCTGTGATTTTTTTTCAATTAGTGTAAAAAACAAATTGGGTCAGTTAATAGATTAGAAAGATTAATATTGTTAAAATATTCGTACCACCCAAAGTGACCTATGGATTAAATGCAATTCATATCATAGTTCCAATGGCACTTTCTTTTTTCCGAAATGGAAAAAATCATGTAAAGTTTGTCTGACACCACAAAATTCCAGAATAGCCAAAGCAAACTTGAGAAAGAGGAACAAGGTCAGAGGTGTCACCCTTCCTGATTTGAAACTGTGTTACAGGCTATAGTAGTTTTAAACGTATGGTACTGTCATTAAAATAGACACATACACCAGTGGAATAGTAGAGAGCCAAGAAATAAATTCACATATATACATTTAACTAATCTTTTATAAGGGCACCAAGAATATACAATACAATGTGAAGAAGACAGTTTCTTTATTGGGAAAATTGGATATCTTTATGCAAAAGAATGAAGTGGATCCTTATCTTTTTTCTTTTTTTCTTTTTTCTTTTTTCTCTTCCCCCCCCCTCTCTCTCTCTCAAGACAGGATCTTTCTATGTTTCTCAGATTGGTCTTAAACTCATGATCTCCCTCCCTCTGCCTCCTGAATAACTGGCACTCTAGGTGCATGCCATTGTGCCTGGCTAGACCCTTATACTGTACACAAAAGTTAATTTGAAATGGATTATAGACTTAAGTGTAAGACCTGGGTATAAAACTCCACCATGAAAACATTGGCAAAAGCATAGGCAAACAAAGCAAAAATAAACAGGTGGGAGATTACATCAAAACTAATAAACTCCCACAAAAGAAAGGAAGCAATCAACAAAATGAAAAGATGACCCACATAGTGGGAGAAAATACTTGGAAGCTTATATATGTCATAAGGAATTAATATACAAAATATATATGGAATTTATATAACTCAATGTCAAATAATAATCACTCAACTAAAAATGGACAAAGAACCTCAATATACATTTTTCCAGAGAAGACATTACAAAGGACCCATGGATATGTGAAAAAGTATTCAACGAGACGAATCATCAGGGAAATGCTAATCAAAATCACAGTGAGATACCACCTCATATCTATTAGGTTGGTCATTATCAGTAAGACAAGAGATAAGTGTTGGCAAGGGTGTAGACAAAAGAGAATTCTTGCCCCTTGTTGGTGGAAATGTAAATTAGTAACCTATATGAAAAACAGGATGGAAGTTCCTCAAAAAATTAAAAATAGAACTACTATATAATCTAGCAATTCCACTATTGGCTATATATCCAATTAAATAAGTAGGCCAAAGAGATTTATGTACTCCCATATTCACTGCAACATTCACAATA